CAATAATAATAATAATTTTTTTTCTCAATTTACAATAAATAATAATAATACTCGTGCGAAAATTGCAAAGTCATATCCCTTAACATACTTTTCGTTACTGAAACATTTATAATACAAATTGTAAAGTGAGAAGTACTGTTTGACTACATTGCAACAATCATTTGATATAAAAATAGTGGAACTTGCAATATCTTTATGAATTTGAATTTTTTTAAATTTATTTATTATAAATAAATCAGAAGTAGATCATTCGATTGGTTTTTAAAATGTATAATTTGAAATCGGTCCTGAAAAATCAGTAAAATAAGTTTTAACTTAATTTGTGCTTATTTATTTTATTAAAAGTTTGCATAAATAAAAGTGTAGAAAGACCAAATACGGAATTTTCAGAAAATGATAATAATAAGAAGCAACAGAAGAATTAAATTAAGTGGCAGTGAGAGTTCAATGTCATCGATGTGTATATGGAAGACATTAATCACTTCGCAGATGAAAATTAAGAAGTTATCAGAGCAAAATTTTGACAAAACAGAAGGTAATAAGATTCTGAAAGATAACTTCTGTTGACTAAAATTTACAATCATAACAGATCGCATCTCTCTAATTTAATCACATTCTTCACTCTTAAAGTCAGAATATTATTCAAAATGTTAATTACTCGGCTGCTGAAAAATAAAAAATACTTTTAATAAAAATAAATAAGTAAATTATCATCATTTTCAAAAGTAACTAACTAACTTTGTAATGTTTTCACTGGCCAGAACAAGATTGCTAACTGATCGAGAGGCTTGTATCATTCCTGATCTAGAAATCTTCATTTGGGGTGCAAAAGCTGACCTTACCGAAGCAAATTTAGCACCGCATAGCTAAATACTCAAAGTTTTCAGTAAATTCGATTTACAACAAAGATATGAAACATATTCTTAACAATTTAACAAGTAAAGTTTTAAAACGTATAAAAGTAACAAAATAAATGCTAAAATATAGCAGAAAAGCATTAAATAAAATTATAAATGACAAATATTAATTAATTATGCAAATTTTCTTTACTAAAATTTTTTTTAATTTATTCAAAACACATTTATTTTATTTTGTAATTATATGAGCTGTAGATCTTTAATTAATTCCAATTTTTCGTTACTTTTGCAGGAATAATTAGAAAAACTATCTATATAAAAAGTTTTGAAAAATTGTAATTCACTGCAAAAATTTGAAAACTGAGCAAAATGGAATGCCCATTAATTGTTCTGCTGAAAATTTGGGCGTTTAAAGCAAACTCAGAATGAATTTTTTTACTTTTATAATTGATAAGACTTTTTTTCGCAAAGTTATAAAAATAATAACTAAGAAGTGAATATTTAAAATGCTAGCTTAGCTTCAAATTTTTCAAATAAATAATTTCACTAAAAAGACTATTTTGTTTTATTTATTTAACAAATTTTCTTCTTAAACTATTGTTATTTTTTCACGTCAAATTTTTAAATAATTATAAAATTTAAATATTTTTAAGAAATCGCGCGAGCTTATTACCTGATTTGCTGTGGTAGTAAGTTTAGAATCAGGAATAACTTTATCACTTTGTGGTGACAAATTTTCTTCTTTATTCACTACTGACATATTTCTGCAATAAACTTAATTATTTTTAAGAAAACCGCATAAACTTATTATTTAAAATTAACCCCAAAGCTTAAAATAATTATTTTTTTTATAAAATAATTTGTGAATCAAACAAAAATCTTTTTTCAATCCAATACTTAGGTCAGTAAAAGTTATTGAAATAAATTATAAGAGAAAAAAAGAAATAATTGACAATTTATGAATAAGTTATGCTTTTTAATAAACATAAATATGAGCAGATAATTGGTAAAAATAGTTTTGTCAAATAATTAGTCAAAATTATTGAATATTTATTTAACAATTTTGACCAGTAATTCTTGAACAATCGTTTGGTACTCAATTTGTACTAAAAACAAAAATATTACCGAGGAATTTATTGCTATTCGCTGAACTTTCAATTCTTTCACAGTTTTTTGATGTAACTATGATATTGTTT